CGCGCGCAGCGTCCGGTATGTTGACGGCCAGTTCGCGTGGAGGTCCATAGTCTTGTCTGAGACGTGTGGCTTTGGATGCACAGAGAGCACCGGCCTGGACAAGGAGTGGGCGTAGTGAGAGCCTACTTGTACTTAGGACTGGGAGTGGTCAAGGAGGCCGTAGTGGGTTTCGCGACGACAGGGACTAGTGGCGCGATTAGCAGGGCGTTATGCTACCTAAGGGACGAGGTAGCCGCCTTCAGAGCAGAGGACTCGAGCGACCCGTTGACGCTATTTCACGGACGCCCTCCTCTTGATATCACAGGCGAGCTGGAGGTAGCACGGGACCGGTTTTTCCCGTACAACATTCGGAGTCTGCGGGCGATAGTTCCGACATTCGTAGTAGAGAGCGTCTTTGGAGGTATTGGTGGAGTGGTCGAGGCATACCTAGCATATCAGGATCTCAAAATCCTGGCGAGAAGGCCTGACGACCTCGACTACATCTATTATTCCCTTGCGACCGGTGGACTTCGTTGGGGAGACGAGAGGGTTCAGCTTATAGAGCTGATCCGTTCGATAGATGACGAGTGGCCCCAGTCTCCGTACGTTTGGGATTGGCTGGACCGTGAGCTCTGAGCGGGCCCCAAGTACGTGACCTGCATCGACCGGCTCTTCTCAGACGACTGGGGTAGCGGGCGACCCCTGATATACGGCCATCAGTTGGCAGAGTACTACCAAGTTGTACGGCAGGCGCCATACCGCGTCGAGCATGAGTTTGACGACGAGGGTTGGGAGCGAGACGACGACGACGACGCCTGGGAGCCAGACTGGGTCGGCCCAGAGAGTGAGGTTGACGAGGAGGAGATAGACGTTACGGACGCCCATTTTCCCAGGATAGGAGTAGCGGTCCGGGCGTAGGAGGCAGAGGAGCACATTGGGACGACGGTTGAGTGAGCTTAGCTACTGATATCGGCCGATAGTGGAGAGCGGATCGATGGTAGAGAAGGTCAGTGGAGTGGAGCTTCAGATCAACGACGCCAGATGGCCTAGACCTCCAAAGACAGTAGCGTCAGGCAGAGTGGCGTTAGATCTCCCGGCCAGAGGGGTTTCCGCGGATGCGATAGAGAGCCGATGGTCATCGACGGTGTTGGCCCCAAACGTACATTTGTGGACGTACGTCATTGAGACATTCGAGTTGGACAGTCAGGGGTGGCGACGACCTGGCACGACTAGTATGGGGGTAGTGGGCCACATTTATTACTCGCCGGAGGTGCTGTCTACGGTTTATTTTCACGGCCTCGTACACGATCATTGGCGAGAGGAGCAGACCGCGAGGAGGATCTTACTGGCTCGAGCGAACTCCGCGCGCGGCAAGGTAGAGCGGCTGCACGAGGGAGTACGGAATGTGACGACGACCTTCAGGATTGGAGGACACTTCCCATACCCTAGCAATCGACTGCGTGTCACACTTCCGTGCTTCGTGGCGGAGGAGCTTTGGGGACTTAGGCGTCTGGGTGACATCTACTTTGCGGCTCTTGACTTGGACGGCCTCTGCCGAGGGTACGCTGACAGGGACTGAGTGCTGTATGCGCAGTTTGTAGCGGGACCGCTTGTAGGCGAGCGAGGGCTCCAGTTGATTGAGTTCTTGCGGGCCATTGTACCTACCGGGAACCCTTACCTGTACTCCCTGTACCAGCCCCTAGCCTTTTGGACGGCGCTAGAGAGAGAGGCTCATAGGCCTACAGATCGTTTAGCTGGAGTAGGGTAGCTGTTAGCCGGGACTCGTGAGGGGAGGCCGGGCCATCTCATCTCGATCGGGAAGGTTGAGGAGTATTACCAGCAAGTATATCCAGAGGCTGACGATCTTGCATGGTACGCTGAGGATCGGGATTGGGAGGACTTCGATGACGTAGACCCCTGGGACGACCAGGACGAGAGTTGGGGACATCTCCTTCAGGCCGAGGGACAGGAGGATATCCCGTGGGGCCAGAGGGTAGATGAGGACATAGATGAGGATATGCCGGATGCATGAGACGATTAGAGGCAGGGCATATCCGAGTGAGGCTTAGAGACGGGAGTAGTGGAGAGACGGTAAGTAGATATCTTTAGGCAAGACGAGAGTGGCAGTAAGAGCAGGGGAGGATGGCAGACAGGGACATAGTGAGAGTGACCCTTTCCCCACGACGAGATAGGACAGAAGGCTGGGAAGATGAAGCGTTGGGCAATGTTGAGCGACAGATCAGACTCATGACGGAGCATGCCCTGGGGATACGGAGAGGCCAGAGGTATGTCGAGTTCACTATCTACTTCCATGGAGCTGACGGGAGAGTGCACAGTACCTACTCGGCCATACTGGATCTGACCGGGAGAGTTGTCTGAGGCGTTAGCAGCATCGTGAGATAGGGTGCGTCGGAGGGAGTAGAGTGACACAGATCGAGAGCAGGAGGGGAGATGAGGAGTGACTCAGTAGCCTGGCAAGCTTATGTTCTCTTACGAGAGTTCGAATCCTATAGTGTGAGGAAACTTGTGAGACCCAGAGAGACGGCTGTTGGATACGACATTCCTCTTCCTGTGGCGTTAGAAGGGACAGGCTGTGTTCCGATACGTTACCTGAGAACGTGGCTGGCAGAGGGACTCTTCCTTTGGACAGTGATACTGAAAGACGGACGACCCGAAAGGACTCATGACCTAGAAGGGGTGGGACATCTGATAGCGGATAGAGCACACGGTTTAGAGGTAGGACTGACACTCGCAGGGGCAAGCAGGGCTTGGTGGAGAGGCGAGTTGTTGACCGGAGTGATCGTAAATCAGCAACTGGCGAGACTCTCTGGAGGGAGGACGTATTGGAGCCGCTTGGTATACGGTCCTCCGCATCCGACCCTCTACCTGAGAGAGGATTGGCGATTCGGGCTTCCTGCCTTCGTGATAGGGCAGACCTATGGGAGCGTAGATCGTTTGAGTAAAGCAGTGGACCACACGCTTTACGCACTTTGGGAGGGCTTAGCTCCCCGTTTCAGGGAAGTATACTACGCCATTTGTGTAAGGTGGGGACCACCTAGCAGAGAGACGCTAGACGACATCATAAATGTTACTTGCTGGGTAGACTGTCTGAGGCCAGTCGATCTGATCAGGTACTGCAGGAGACGAGCGGAGATTGATTACGTGGGGCTAGAGGATGTGAGATTTCTCTTCGAGGTCGTAGCGTAGGGAATGTCGGGGAGGACGGCCACAGTGATGCGCGTAGGAGAGCAACTGGTAAGCACAGGGTACACTGTGACAGTACTACTCCGAGCGTACATAGATGAGGACTTGACGGCGAGGGAGTGTCGACAACGAGCCAGGGATTTGATCCACGAACATAGAGTTGATGTACTGGCGCGGGTGACCTTCCAGACCTCGATTTCCTATGATGTGATGATATGGTCTCATGGATATATGCGCGCGGAGTACTTCCACGATGAGACGGTAGCGGAAGCTAGAGCGAGGATGAGAGGATGAGCTGGAAAGAGATGAGGACTGAGTATGAAAGAGGAGAGTGAGGCAGTAGAAAGAGTGAGAAAGCGCATTAAAGAACCACTCTTGAATCAGGTAAAGGAGTTAGGGAACAAGATAAGGGAGATCGGGTCGTGCCAGGATAAGGGCAAGCTGCGTAGGGTTGAGCTCATGACGAGAGAGTTAGAGAGTTTGTTCAGGAAGGAAAGAGAGATTATCTAGGTGTGGAGATCAGACTTTCTGAAGAGGATAAAGGCTAGGAGCGTATCATGCGAAGGAACTAGAGAGAAGTCTGCAGAGGGTGTGACAACGGAGGACAAGGTAACGCAGGGAGGTAGCGACAGGACATGAGCGGGACCGCACTACACACAACGGATCGGTACTTATTGCATGTGGTAGGGAGACTGGACGGACCGTTGGTGTTAGTGATCGTGGAGCTCCAGCTCCATACCAGATTGTGCATAGTTGAGGAGGCAGAGTGTGTCCGTCGCGCGCTGCGAGAGGCTAGTGGGACAGGACTTTGGATTGGAGTAGATGGAGGACGAAGGATAAAATACGTACTCCGAGTGACACCTTTCGAAGGGCGGTCTCGGATAAGGGCATGGTACGAGACGACCAAAGAGGCTAAGAGGTTGAAGATAAGTGAAGCAAGGAAAGTTGGAGAGCTAGGGAGAGTTGTAGCAGACGGTGCAATACTGAGGGTGCTAGCCGCTCACGATCGGTACTGGAGGGAATCGATAAAGACTTTAGAGGCCATAGAGGATAGTGAAGATGAGGAGGATTTTGAGACATTCTATGATATATTGGAGCTGTCGGCGATGAGGTTACGAGTGGTTATAGCACTGACTTACCTCAGGTGCTAGACATATGACCTCATAGCTGTCTGGGAGTTAAAAGAGGAGAAATAGAGATTGGAAGCTCTTGGAAAGATAGTGAAGGTCAGAAAGGTCGACGAGCGACTTTGGATGGCAGTAGGAGGAGAGTTTCCACCTTTGGCGGGCTACCCGATTCAGGACGGGCTGGGAGACCTAGCAAGGAGGACGGAGATAGACGCTCGGAGGCTCTTGAGGGGTGCTGATCAGGAGACATTGGTTAGGCTTGGGACCGCGATCTGCCCCAGGAGTAGAGATCCTGTCACGGGTGTACTGCAGATCCGGAGAGGCGCGGCCTTGTTGACCGATCCCGAAGGAGAGGTTTATCTAGACATAGGGATTCCTCGGGTAGAAGGAGAGCACGAGATCCGCGACCGGACCGGAGTACTGGTCGTGGTAATCAGGGCATTCGAGAGCTAGGATTGGTGACTAGCGTGAACCGTGACAAGGAAACTGGTCCGGGCTGCGAGTTCTGTCACAGGTCCGGGCTGCAGCAACTGTCATAGGTCCGGGCTGTAACACCCGGCGAGAGTGCCCGACCGCATCTTCTGGTAGCCTATGGAGCCAGACACGATGGGGCCACAACCGACTACGACCGGAACAGGGGAGAAGTACAGGACATCGCCCGACCGAGCTCTGAGGGATCTGAAGGAACGAATTAGGCAGGGGGCACCGCTGAGATGGGCCGACCAAACCCATGATGGAGAGCCCGACGTAATGGGCGAGCCGGTCGTGACAGAGCCGCAGGAGACTTTAAAGACAAGAACCTCAAGCGGTCGACGAGAAGCGACAAGACCACGCTCCCCCGAGTATGAGCGAAGGAAAACCATGGCGGATAGGCACAAGGACGACTGGAGAGAGAGTTCGAGGGATTCCTACTGGAGGGATAGAGCACCGCCCCGGGGTGTCTTCGACCCCCAGACGGGGGAGTCACATCTGCTCCCTTACGAGAGCAAGGATCGATATATTATTACGCACAAGGCCTCGGAGCCTCCTACTTTCAGGGGCTATGGAATCACAGAATATCTGGAGAAGTGGGAGCTTCATGCTAGCCGGAGTCAATGGTCGGAGGAAGAGATTATAGAAAACTTCCTATTAAATGTAGATCCAAGTCTCGGCAAGGAAGTTAAGGAAGCTCGACCGAAGGATGGAAAATGGACTACGTATAAGAAGAACCTCATTGAACTTTACAAATTAGAGGATAACAAGTACTCCATCAAGGACCTTGAGACTATGACTCAAGATGAAGATGAGAGCGTATGGGCATTTGGGATGCATTTCCAAAAGATCTCTGACGTGCTGATGAAGAAGGGGAAGATCTCAGAGATCGAGCGTTGTACTATCTTCATCGGACACCTGTCCAAGGGCAGGCAAAAAAGTATACTTAGAGATCTCCCGCGCGACAAACTTGACTTCCCAGAAGTCCTAAAGCTTGCGATAAAGACAGAGGCAGAGGACTTGGTGTGGAGAGGGATGAGGAGACGTGACTTCTCTCTCTACAAGGAGTATGCCACTGATAGACGTCCTGATTTCAAGGACTATCCCTGGTCGGAGAAGAATGAAGCCGTGGCCGAGGAAGTGAAGGAGATAAGGGACATGGTAAAGGGATTGACAAGACAGGTTACAGAGATTGTGACCACCACAGGAGCCACGACATACCGGGACAAGCCCGGAGGGCTCTATTCACTTCGCTGGGACCAGAGGAACACTGATTCCTGGAGGAGTGTTGAGGATAAAAATCCTCGAACGCTGACTGATTATCGTGCGTGGGAAAGGGAGAGAGACGATGAGCCATGGTGACGTAGGAATGATGAGATAGACCGGGACCGCAGGACTCGCGAGAAGTATGGGCAAGCTAGGAAACTGGATGACTACTCGTGTAGCCCTCGCTATGAGCCTGATGGGGGTAGAGGCGACTCTCGAGGACGGTGGGAGCTGGATCAGGGCCGGCGAGACGGATACAGGGATGATAGATATGAGAGATCGGGCCGAGACGGATACAGGGACGACAGATATGAGAGGTCGGATCGAGACGGATACAGGGGTGGCAGATATGAGAGAGGAGATCGACGCGATGAGTCGCTCGGGCGATACGACCAAGGAGACCAACGTGATGATTCACGCAGGCGATACGACCGAGGAGACCGATATGATGATTCACGCGGGCGATACGACCGAGGAGACCGACGTGATGATTCACGCGGGCGATACGAGCAAGGAGACCGCCGCAATGATTCGCGCGGCAGGAATGAGAGAGGGGGATATGGCACGTCATCCGATCCACATACAAAGTCCCCAAACCCCAGAGCAGCGAGGGGTTCAACCTCCAGGGGCGTAGACGACAGGCCACCCACTCCCAGGAACTCCTGCGTCTACTGTAGGGGGGATGATCATATCAAGAGAGATTGCCCGGACCTCAAACGGGTAATAGATGAGGGGCTTGTCGTGCTTGAYGACCGCAAGTACGTCAAGTGGGCAGATGATCTGGGAGACGTATCGATGTTCCCTTCGATAAAGGAGAATGTTGAAGCAAGGAGAGTTAAGCCGATTTTTGGAAAGAAGCCGGTTAGGAGCCAGAGCATCAAGATAACTTTCAAAGGAGATATGGTGACCACACCCATAAGGGTAGCAACTACCAAGTTGGCGAGAGGGTCTACATCAAAGAAGATTGACACGGATTACGTGATGGCGGAAAAAGATAGGCAGCGGATCGATGGGGAGGAGGTTCTTCTTTCACCACGGAAGCGGGGAGTGAAAAAGTTATTGATGAAGAGTTTGATGGACGAGATTGACAAGGTCGAGCCACTGAGGCGGGCCCTTCGGCAGCCCATGCAGTGCTCAATTCTGGAGTACCTGGCGGCATCAAAGCCAGCTCGCGACGAGTTACACATGATCACGCGGAAGACTCGCATACCTCTATCAGAGGAGGTACRGGTGSCCCCAARGGCGGATGCACCCGCCGTAGCAGTATCGGAGGTGACAATTAGGGCAGATCGCATGGCGACAGTCCTTCTTGATGGGATGGAAGGTGTGCCTCCAGACAAGTTTTACATACTTGGTAGTGGGGCCGTGGAGGCGATCATAAACGACGGAGCGGTACTAGATGCTGTGATCGATAACGGCAGTGAGGCTGTCATTATAGACGAGGATCTGGCAGTGCAGGTTGGACTGGGCCTCGATAGGTCATATCTATTCGAGATAGAGACGACTGATGGGAGAAAGCAACAGATCACCGGGGTTTGTCACAAGGCAGCCATAGAGGTCCAAGGGGTACGAGTGACCCTGCCTGTTTTTGCAGTCAAGAACTGCAGCTCCGATCTGCTCTTGGGACGAAGAGGGTTGAGCCACGTGCATGCGGTAACGATAGAGCGACCGGATGGGAGTCAGGCATTATTCATTAAGAAGCTAGATGGGACGCGTGTTATGATTGAGACAGTGGAGTCTCGGGACCAGAGGAACAGAGCAGCTTTCGCTGTGGGGGCAAGACCCAGTGATCAAATTAAGTCATTGCCTATCTCCGGCCGCGCGGTGCGATTTCACGAGAAGAAGCATGGACCACTGCTCACAGAGAAAGAAGGTCGGATCGTGGAGGTGGAAGATTTAGGGAGTCAGCTGATAGTGGACGGCAACTCGTACCCAAAGGGAATAGATGAGGAATTTGGCGGTGTGGTATCTGTGTTTTTTTTAAGGGCACGGCCCCCTATGGGGGGCTACCCAAGCGACACAAGCGAGTAGCTCAAAAGGTTAAGCCAGCGGTGGTGGGCCACGAGTGATCTGCACTGGAAGGGATATCGAAAGAAGAGATCGCAAAGGAAATCAAGGAGAGAGTTACTCAAGCGACACAAGCGAGTAGCTCAAAAGGTGAA